CTGCCGTTTTCTGACACGGCAGGCATCTGCAAAGAAACCCAGCTGCTCATGCTAATCTGGTGACACAGGTGCTAACGGCAGCGACTGCCTCAATGGAAAGGTTCCAAACATGTGGACAGGCTCCACCAGACTCAGCAACTGTCATGTGCAGCAGGGTGCTCATGATAAAGGAGTGACTGACAACTCCCTTACTGAAAGTTTTATCTACCATCCATCCTGTTAAAGTATGAATCTGTGTAGTGTTTTGATAACTTGAGCTGAAGCGCTCCACTACAGCCTGCTGCTAGTGTTACCTGAAAGAAAGCAAACCTTATTCAGACAGTAAATGGTCCTGCCCATGTTCCAAGAGCTCAGCTGGCTGCATGATGGAACATAAACTCAACAAGTTTGTTTCAGGATTTGTGCAGCTGCACAGAGCAGCCATGAGTATCAGTGGGAAAAGCACTGTGTTCTGCGGATAAATAAACTACTCGGTCAGGCCGCCTGCATCAACAATGACCCAGTCAGCTGCTCGCTCAGCTCTTTCTAAAGGCCGTCTTAAATTTTCCTAAGCACTACACAGTGATGTAGTTGCTGAACTAACTGTATGAGGTCTGGCTACGAGTCATAATACAGCAAACAGTCTTTCTGACCTTTAAATTAAATCTGTTTGGTACTGGTGCAAAAGCTTGAAACCCTCACATCTGAGAAGCTATAACTGTCAAAGTTGTTTCAGATTAAATGGTTGTAGATTACTTTTCTGTTGGTGGTTTAATTACTTATTCAGAATCAGATTAAGCTTTATTGGCCAGGTGTGTTGGACACAGGAGGGATCTGACTCTGGTACAGCGGCTCTCAGTGTGTGTGCAGTGTTCTTCGTGTTCAACACACCTGGCCAATAAAGCCGAATTCTGATTCTGATTCCTCTTCTGTATGGCAACGAGTAGACACGTGAACAAGACAGAAAGAACAAAAAAAAAGAACAGAAACAGGAAACAATGGCTCTGCCTCATTGAGAAAATAAAGTACTTATAAATACAGACATACTGTATATATATGTATACACAGTTTAGATGCATCCACTAATTGTTGCAGCTCTAGACATGTTTTACATGACGTTTGCTGTAAAAGTGAATAATTCCAAAGTATTTAAAAAGTAAATTATTTTATTTTTTACATGAATTTTGTTTGTTATGATAAATGTTATGTCATTCATTCAGCCATGCTGGCTGGCCCTACAGGTCTTTGTTCATACAGCTACAGCAAGTATTAATGCTGTGACTATAATTTCTAGAGTCATCATTTCTGAAAGCAGATTTCTCACATAAATAGCTCAAAGAACTAACCAAACAATATGAATAACACTTCCTGTGGCATTTTCAAAAAATCTAGTGGCAAAGTTCCTTTGAGACACTTTGATGTTTTTTGTGCCATTTTAATACTGAATTTAAAATTATTTAATAATAGTACACCTCATATTTTTGTAAGTAGTACTAGCCATACTCCTGGCACAGACAATAGGAATAAAACTACAGTGTTGTGACATTTTAGAGTAATCCAGTGATCTAAAATGATAGAAAAGAGCCTCTGTCCGTTGTCTGGGAAGTAATTTGCAACTAAACTATTCTAAAGTGCCACAGTAAAACATATTCTTATTACTTGTACATGAACTTCTTATGCTATGACGAACGTTTCCATGTACATAAAAATAAAATAGTGTTTGTTGCGTGATTCTGTCCCAACAATATACATAAGGTTTAAATGCGGTGAATTCACAAAAACCTTTTACAGGCTGTTCCTACATCGGTTCCAAATGAACACTGCTGCGTCTTTTCCTTTGGGACCTGGATGGACTGACTCCTCGCTGTTTTCATTCACACCCGAACCAAACTTTCACTGGTTTGTACTAGTTCATAACCGTGACTATTTAGTGTGACATTCCCTTTATTGTACGTCTGTCCAATGACTCTGGGACATTTAGACCGTGTGCCACTGCATTCTTCATGGTGCCTTCACGACTCCAAGCTGCTGCGACCCCCGGTACGTTGGACCACTGTGGTCCAGCCACTGTGGGGCTTTACGGCCGCTCTGTCTGTACGGGGTTCGGCCATAAACATGTTTAATAAACCCTGAGTCTGGTTAAAGCCTAAACGTTTACACACAAAACAAAGTGTTGGTTTCCATATGTGACTAAATTCTGAGGAGGAAAAGGGCGAATTTATTGATATATTGTCTCAAGACGTGTGTCCATTAGCTTCCTCTCATCAATCCCACGGAACCCAGTGGCACGAATGGCCAATGTGAACAGAAAAAAACAGCCCTGGCACTGAGAGAAGTTAAGCCTATTTGTTTTATTCCCCCACATTTAGCAGAAATGTCCTACCTTTAGCAGTTTGGGGTTGTGCTGTCTGGCGACGCAATCCGTACGCGGTCCTCTCCTCCCTAGTGTCCTCGGGCAGCAGCGGCTCTCCGCTGTCTCATTGAGACGTGGCCGATGCTGCGTCGAGGGGTAGTGGACTGGGCGGGGGCTGGTGGTCAGAGACTGGAGGTGGTAGGTGAGGTATAAGGCGGGACTTGTGTCCTAGCAGCAGGAGGACAAAGACACCGTGCTGTCAGATGACCATGGATAAGTTTCTAAAACTTTAAGAGGTCTGGACCACTCGACATTTATCCTCCTCTCCTCAACGCATAGGCTAACAAACAGGTGCTTTAGGACTGGAGGAACTTTTTCATAGTTCTTAGAATAAAGTACACACCAGCACCGCAGGAACTGACAATGGTAAAAACAAAGCACTGGTGCAAGTATGGAAAGCCAATTCGCCCAAATACGCGCGAAATGTTTTCCTAGAGCCACGAATTGTTTATGCGTCACTCTAGGGGTTGTTTACACGAGAGAGAGAAACGGAACAAAAATAAGCCTTAAGCCATTTGATCTACATAACAGATACCAAACATGCACTGTTTAAAATTACATGTATTAACTATAATCAAATTTATACCAGTGAAATAATTACCAGATGAAATGACTTAACCTTTACCATAATCTTAAAAACAAGTAAGTGTAGTCACCCACACCTAGAGCAGACATACTGTATGTTTTATGCACTACATATACAGTAGATGAAAATGAAAAAGTTACTTATGCTCCCTTTATCATTTATCATATTTTAACGTTTTTATAAGGCTGGAACTGTTCACAAGCAGGTACAGGCATACATGGGTCAACTCATCCTTATTAAAAACCTAAAGGCTGTGCTCACCTTAGGAGAACTGAGCTGTTGGCTTCTGTGTCAGAGATTGGAACAGGAAACTAATGTGTTTTTTCTTCAGTTTTTCCCCCTTTCACAATAAATGGACATAACAGATTAAGAGTAAATTTAAAATAACTAAACTGAACTTAGAACAAATATTACAAGGCTCTGAAAATTTGCAGGAGCTAGAAGACACAAGGTTAAAAATATTTTAGCAAATGTCTATTTTTAAAAAGAGCACATCCCGTGTTTTTCAGTGTTTTCTAACTTATCTAAAATGTTACATTGATGAATTATCACCTCAAATGTGACCTAAAGCTCAGAACTGAGAGCATCATGGGGCCCCTCCCCCAGAAGTCTAGGCCTATAGCAAGAGAAGGCTCAGGGTCATCTGATCCAGTCCTAACTATAAGCTTTATCAAAAGGAAAGTCTTAGGTCTATTCTTAAAGGTAGAGAGGGTATCTGCCTCCTGAACTGAGACTGTGAGCTGATTCTATAGGAAAGAACCTTGACTGCTAAAGGTTCTGCCTCCCATTCTGCTTCTGTGGACTCTAGGAACCACAAGCAGACCTGCACTCTGAGAGCGAAGTGCTCTGTTAGGATGATAAGGCTCTACGAGGTCTTTAAGATACGATGGAGCCTTGTCATTAAGGGCTTTGTATGTTAGGAGAAGGATTTTAAATTCTGGATTTTACAGGGAGCCAGTGGAGAGAAGCCAATATGGGAGAGATATGATCTCTCTTGCTAGTTCCTGTCAGTACTCTGGCTGCAGCATTTTGCATTAACTGGAGGCTTTTTAGGGACTTAGTGGGATGTCATGCATCACTTTGAGACAGGTTATTCCTGTTTTTGACAATATTGCGCAAGGAAAGAAGGCAGTTCTAGAGACTTTTTTATGTGTGACATATCCCGGTCAAAAATGAGTCCAAGATTCCTCACAGCAGGACTGGAGGACACAGAGCTATGTCATCTAGACTAACTATATGGTTAGTCTGGTTATATTTTTAATGTTTTCTTTCCAATAGCTTCGGTTTTGTTGGGGTTTAGAAGTAAGAAATTACAGTCATCCAGGCCTTTATGTCTTTAAGACATGCTTGAATTTTGACCAACTGATCTGATTCATCTGGGATCATAAATAAATCATCTGCATAGCAATGGAAATTTATGCTGTGCTTCCTGATAATATTGTCTAAAGGGAGAATGTATAAAGTGAAGAGAATTGGACCTAACACAGAGCCCTGTGGAACGCCGGGACTAACTTCAGTCTGTGTGGAAGATTCATCATTAACCTGGACAAACTGGAATATTTCTGATAAGTAAGATTTGAACCAACTTAGTGCAGTTCCTTTAATCCCAATAACATGTTCAAGTCTCTGCAGTAAGATGCTGTGATCAGTGGTGTCAAAAGCAGCACTGAGATCTAAGAGGACAAGTATGCAGACAAGTATCTTTATCTGAGGCTAGGAGAAGATCATTGGTGACTTTCACCAATGCAGTTTCTGTACTATGATGGACTCTAAAACCTGACTGAAAATCCTCAAACAAATCATTCTTGTGCAAGTGGTCACATAACTACTTAGCAACAGCTTTTTCCAGAATTTTAGAAATAAATGGGAGATTGGATATTGGTCTATAATTAGCTAGGACACCTGGGTCAAGAGTAGGCTTTTTGAGTAGAGGTTTAATTACTGCAACTTTAAAAGCCTGTGGAACATAACCTGTTAATAGAGAAAGGTTAATCAGATCTAGTATGGATGTGTCGATTAGGGGAAAGACGTCTCTGAGCAGCCAAGTAGTCCAAGTATAAATGAGGTCTCACAGATGTTTCTAAAGCCACTGTAGTAGAGGGCACATCCGTGAGAGCTGTGGGAATGGTCCGACCAATTTTTTCTCTAATAGTTGTGATTTTATTTGTAAAGAAGCTCATGAAGTCATTGCTGCTGAGATCTAAGGGAATGTTAAGTTCAACAGCACTGTGGCTCTTTGTCAGCCGAGGTACAGTGCTGAAAAGAAACCTGGGGTTGTTCTTATTTTCCTCAATCAGTGATGAATAAAGGGCGATTCTGGCACTACAAAGGGCTCTTTTATATGTTATTAAACTATCTTTCCAGGCTATGAAAAACTCTTCTGACTTGGTGGAGCGCCACCTCCTTTCCAGTTTTCGTGATGCCGGCATAAGGGAGCGGAGCTGCGAATTTTACCATAGGGCTAGCCTCCTCTGTTTCACTGCCTTCCTTTTCAGAGGGGCAACGGTATCAAGTGTCAAGAAAGGATGCATCTGGTTCCTGTGTTGCACACTCATATCCTGTCCTTCAGATCTCTGCAGCCAAAACCGAAGCTCACTGGTCACTAGCTGAATGAAGAGAGAGGAGTGGATGGGGCAGGTGGTGACTTCAGTCCAGGGCACTGATGTGGAATCAATTAAAAACAATGAGGTGTAATAAAGAATACAGTACTCTGTCATTCAAACAACAGAAACTCTCAGGCTCTGTAACAGCGATGGCAATAAAAACACTAGTGTAAGGGACTAGTTAGAGGCCCATTTCTTAGTTTGTCACTGTGTTGTTTAAAATTGAACACTGATACTTGTATAGTCACTGGTTTGCATAGCAGTAATAATGAGTGCAATATCTTTACAACAATTTGGATGGATTATCATCAAATCTTCTTCAGACATTATGGCGCATTAATCAGACTGACTTTGGAAATCTGACATTTTCTCCAGTGCCACCAGTAGGTCAAAGTGTAGGCTTATCTCGAGAAAGATCTCATGTGCTGGCACAAAATGCTCTACAGACATCTGTGACTCCCAGAGGACGAGGCCTAATAACTCCTGAGATCCAACTGAGAGTTAACACTTAGGTCAAAGCACCGCTGTGCCTGTAGAGTTGCTAACATAGACTCTTAGTCTTGTTTGTACTTACCACCTGAAAAAACACTGCACTTCCACTTCATCTAAGACATTAACACAGTACTGCTGACATGCACTGTTGTTCCAGTGGTAAACAAGCCAATTAACACAGCTGCTGCTAAAAATAGAAAGCGCTCTGCAATGGTTTTTTCAGTTAGTACTAAGATGCAATATTACACAAAATGACTCCTTCTAGTCTGCTCATCCTGGATTTGAATGCATCTAGACTGTGTGTGTATATACAGGTCTCTCTTTATAAGTACTGTTTATTCTTTCCTAATGCACATCCTTTTGCTTGTTTGCACATTACTTATTTCCTTTTACTTCTCTAAGCCTTATATTGTTTACTTGCCCATTGCTGCCTTACATAAGGACATTCTGATTCTGATCACCCATTAGAACAACCTCTGTCTGCAGCTGCACTTACAGTGTATCACTCCACTTGATTGCAGCTACTAAGCAGTTGCAATGGAAATATTTTCAGGGCAGATGAGAATTTGAAGTATGGTAATAGAGCACAAAGGGCATTACTCTTAACTGTCTGACTGATCCCCAATTGGCAGGCTGAGTGGCTTACATGAGCAATGACAGTGGTATGTTACTGTGAAGAAAACATGAGATTATGACTGCACTGAAGAGATTGTTTTGTACCTTGTAGCTATTTATAGAAAGGTGATTAGTAAAATGATATATTAAAATGTGTTTAGTCAAAGTGAGGATAAACCAACACAACAGGTTGAGTGAGTGTGGTTGCTACTGGGAAATAAAGGAATGACTCATATAACACTGCCATCACTGGTATATGTGACACTACTAACTGTGTGCTTCTAATATGTGTGTACTGTTTAGATAGGACAGAAGCCTTCTCGGTGGTGAGACAACCCCACAAAGCTGCCCAGCTGCCAGTTGTGTTGTGCACCTCTGCCTAACTGTATGACTGGAATGGATACAGTCACAGGGCGCTTTTGGACCAAACAGTTCTAGGGTCTGCTCCACTGGGGAGCTCCCCCGAAAACTACATACGTACCTGAATGGACTTTTTTCTTTCTGCATTTGCACTGCTTTTCTCAAACTGTAAATAAACCCACTCTGTTTTAATCACACTCTTGATCTTGTTCTGACATACGGCATCAAAACTGAACACTTAATAGTTTTTCCCCAAAACCCTCTTCTGTCTGACCAATGATTTGTTTGAGGATTTTCAGTCAGGTTTTAGAGTCCATCATAGTACAGAATCTGCATTGGCGAAAGTCACCAATGATCTTCTCCTAGCCTCAGATAAAGGACTTTTAGATTCAACAGGTTCTTTTATCTGAAGGCCCCAAGAAGTAACACTCAGGAAACAGGAATCAGCTTTATGTAGATTTATTTTCTTCTGGTTAAATGCAGAGTTATTACAGCGCTGGGCTCTATGAGATGACAAGATTCCAAGAGCTCTGATAATAGGAAGTAATTCACATATATCTTCTCGGGCTGGGACTGCCCTGAACATGGGTGAAACTCATATTATCTTCTAATCTGTTGGCTCTACACTCACAACATGAACTGGACACAAGGTTCATACAAGG